TTACAATTAATCGTTTACACGTCGCCCGCATGGTGAGGTCGGCGTGTAGAGGCTCTTGGTTTGGGGAGGGGTCGGGGTAGGGGGAACCGCTACAGGCCGACCTCGCCATGCGGGCGACGTGTAAACGATTAATTGTAATCAGACTACCCTTATATACCCCGCCCAACTGTACAGTTTTAATTACCCCTTCAAATGTTTTGGCCTGACGAAGAGTTGCTGAAACCGTATGTTTGCCAACTTGACTTCTCGATTCTGATGAAGTAAGCAACCAGGCTAGTGTGATTAAACTCATGGCTCCTGATCGGGGCCTCGTAGCTCAGTTGGCTGGAGCCTTGTCCGCAATAAAGCCTTTCCCTTACTGGCGTGGGTTGGAGTCCCACTGAGGCAGACGAGTTTTTCGCAACTGGGTCAAATTTGCCAAAAGCCCCTGGTAACCTAAAACCTAAATTATTCGAATTAAAGTTGCAAAATTTCCATTTGAGAATTCAGAAGAGTATTTTGGCGAGGGTACGTGGACTTACGATAAATCCTCGTCGGGCTTGTACATTTATATGGGCAGCTGATGCATGTTAAAACGTAAATGGTTGATTCCGGACATCAGGTGGACCCCAACGAAGCTTTCCAAGTCATCTAGAAGGCCCCAGCAAATTATCCAAGGTCCGTGGGTTAGCGCCTGTTAGCAACAGCAGGAGCGACCGCTATCAGGTTGATGAAGCCAGCATAGTGTGCACAAAGGAACTTCCTACAAGTTCCACAGCTGGCGTGGCTAACAGTCACCTAGCGGCATGCACTCATCCGAGCTCTGTTTGTCTCCTTCCCCTCCCCCCTCCTGCCCTCCCTCGCCTAAACTGAACACTTTTTAACATGCACCCCCTTCCCCTATAAATGTATTGGCCGGACGAGAATTTATCGAAAGTATACGTACGCTCGCCAAATAATCTGAATTATTAAGTTCAAACACTCAAAGAAAAGTGTGTTAACTGATGCCTGCCATAAAAGAAAACCCCACCGAAATGTGAAGACTATTTCCATATCCAGAAGCCGCCTTCATACAGCCTTCATGACTCTATGGAGTCCCCCAATGTGTAATAGCTGCCACTAGCAAAAAAAAATGGACGGAAAAATGAAACGCAGGATTTATGTCCACCGATGCAAAACAGTCATGGAGCAACCACTTAGCCTTCCTGTACTTTTTCAAAACTACGGTCTGGTTGAAAGCTATTAGCAAATGAACAGTCCCCAAAAGTCTATTGAACACCGACATCTATTTAAAAACATCCTGGTAAGTTTCAGGCAGTTGGTTTTTCTCCCGACCTATACTGATGGGAAGGACAGGCTATTATTTCCAACAAAGCGTACGGAGATCAACGTAAGCGTGATTTGGTGGTCTTAAAACGAAAACGATTGTTTGGAAAAAAATTCTTACGAGAAATAAATAATTATTTGGACTGTGATCTGTAGGTGAAGCTATTTTTGCAAATAAGTCCAGAGAAGGAAAATGATGTCTTAGTTAACCACAGTATCCATGTCCTAGCCTCTGATTGACGGTCTGAGCAAGTGAGCTGGAAACGGACATCATATGTACGACAGAATCAAACATGTGTAAACAAATTGATCATGCAAAAATATGACATTCTTTGTTACGGCGATGCCTGTTCTTTCTACGCAGGCATCAATCTTCCCCAAATGAACTATTAAACACTGTCAGAACATCCTAAAAGTTATCAAACACTATTTATGTAAATATTCTCTGCCGTATGAAAAAAGATGACGTTTATTGTCTCTTTCCACGAGAGTCTACCTGGGAGAATCCGACAGGAATGGGCACATTTGAAGACGCTCTTTCATCTCGATCGAGGAGACGCTGCCGAAGGACATCAATGTGGCTCTCCAACTCATGGTTGCTTTTCCTGAGGCCGTGAATTTCATCAAGTAATCCATGCTTCAAAAGAAGAAAAAACCTTTTGTTGCAGGCATGCACAAAAGGACTTCCTTTGCATTAAAGAAATATTTCGTCTTCTAGCTTGGGAGGAGACGGTCTGAATGCGTCGCGCATTCATGCTACTGGTAATTTTTGGGCTTGGAGCTGGTAATTGACAAGATCCATAGTAACTGCTAGCGAAAAAGACATTGCATGAAACAGAATGAGGAACCCGTTACCACACCACCTTCTAGAGGACAAGGTTTCAACTGGGATTCCATTGGCGATCTCGAAGTCAGAAATTATAAGTCAACTAACATACCACAATACCTCAGACTGATAAAACTTAATTCACTTCTAGAAATTTGATTTACATTTCGACGGCATCACAATTGGTTTGATGACAATTCAAGGAAAATTCAATAAAGATAGGTTAATGCCATCACTAACCCCTTGTTTACTTTGAATACCTACTTAATTATTTTGTAGTAGGAGGCATGTTTTGTTTTATAACGTTGGCGTGAGTTGTTCTACTCACAACAAACGTTCGACATAGTCCATGCAAATGTCACATTTCCCCCCTCCCCTACGGATTTATTTAGTGACGTGCGAGTATTTTTTATAGGCTAGGTTGTGTTACTCACGACAAAGACACGAGACAGCCCATCCACATATTATATTACACCCCCATGGAACGATTTAGTGCCAGAAGGAAATTTACGGGAATATACAGAAACATACCATTTTACAGTGAATTTTTTATCCCATTTTATATTACTATTGAATTATAAGCATTATAAATGTCACGTTACCACGGTTTGTTAAGAATTTTTTTTTCAGGTAGTAAGGTCTCCGCTGCCTTACTGAAAAATGAGATTCGATACGTCGGGTTCGATTATTGTTTTACAAATTCGACTAACGTCGGATTCGTTTCGCGTTCGATTTTTCGTACCTTCAGGATCGATTCAGATACTATTCGAATCCGAATTCGAATTCGCAAATTGCTTTTTATATATTTTTCAGTTATCTTTCCCTTGTTAGTTGTATATATTAGCTCATTATGATAATTTTATCTAACATTTCCGACATTTTTATGCATGTTTTTTGAATAATCCCCACTGCGCCCTGTTATGCCCCACGCGTATAACCCCTATTACCACTCGTCCTGTATTACAGAGTTCTAGGATTTCTGGTTGCCGTGATAGCATTAAACTATCCCTTCCCAAAACCAAGGGCACCCCCTTGGGAACACGTAAACTATCAAACGTGTGCCAACGACAGGACAAAGCCACCTAAAGCAGCGTTCTCATTATGGTGAGCCTAATGCAGCAGAGGCCAGAGGAGAGATAAAACTATCGCCGAAATTGTAAGGCTGAAGAACTTCAAGGGTAAGTCGACCAGGGTGGAATGAGTCGCTTATTTGCGGCCAAGACGGTAGTCTAGTTCCCTCAAACCAAAACAACTGCATAGCTGTTCAGATCACATGACGCGACCCAAGTGTCGTTGGAGTCGAAATGTAGAAGTACAGGGCCAGGCGGTTCACCAACCACCTTTCTGAAAACCGGTCATAAACCATCAACAGACTTCCTCGAGAGTCCGAGAACACTAGAAAAGTAGTGCGGCGGCTGTCCAGTAGAAACGCGAGGTAGGTTGAACTAAAATCCCCGTTACTATAAGCAAACTTATGCGCAACCCGTTCTGTGGTCCACTTAATGGGGGGCAGCAGGGGACTACGTCGTCCATGACGTTCGAACTATCATGTGTGTGTGTGTGTGTCTGAGCGGGGGCAATAAGCAATTTTGCTATAATACTTAGTTAAGACTCACGTTTTCGCCTTCAATTTTCCGCAGCCTCTGTTCCCGTTCTTCTACCCTCTTTTGTAAGATGTTGCTTTTTGCCTTGGCATCTTCAAGATTGGATTGCACACGAACAAGTTCATCAGCCTGTCCTTGCTGTAAAGAGATTCGGGGATATCACAAGTTGAGACCAGGGAAGCGCGTAAAGTTTCATTTGATATACAAGTTGTACTAATATATTAACAGTAAACACATTTTTTAAAATCAATTTACGCATTCAAGTTCTAGGGCTCGACAGCGATCAGTCTTCTGGACAAGCTCGGCACTGCTTTGATTCCTTTCCGTTTCTGTTTCCTTTAAACGATTTTTCGTGTGTTCAAGTTCTGAGCGATGTTTCTCCTGGACAGCAAAAATTGGAAAGCATTATATGAACCGACTCTTTCATTTTATGGAGTGAAATTGGGCAAGATAAATGAATTCAAAAGGGAGCGAGGCAGCTTAGAAAAACACTTGCATGGTAAATGAAGTGCTACCTGAGCGAGAGTCAACTAAATTCTAATCTTTTGCGGCAGACCTGATGTTCTTTAGGGCTCAGACATTTCCTTTCCAAGCAATTTAATTCAAAATTGCTTAAAACTACTTGGTGTGCTCTCGACTAGAAAAAACAGGCGCAAGTTGGGTTATCTAATTTTTTTCATAGTGAACAGTCACGGTAGCACAGAAAGGGATCCCATTAACGCGCCGAGATCGTGCAAAATCTTTTCTTACCAAGTCACTGTTAAGCGTCTTAAGCTCATGGTCCTTCTCATCGAGGGCCAGTTGAAGATGACTCAATCTGCTACTCTGCTCCTGATGGACTGATCGCATTCGAGCGAGTTCGTCGGCCTGGGGAAATATAATACAAATGAAAATTTGAAAAAGAAGTATGCATTAGTAAATGGTGGGCTCTGTCTCCAAAACGGTTGTAAAACTATCCGGACTGTATCTGGACTGGTGATTTTTCATGCTAGTCGGCTAAATATGGATTGCAGTACAAAAGGTGTCAACGATCGAGGATGTCATTACAGCAAATCATAGTTGACGCTTGAATATAACTATTTGATATCTTGAAGCCCCGCGTAGATTCCACAGAGCATGCGTAGAGCACTAATTTGAAAAGGGGTAACGGTCTAATCACAATTAATTTTGGAAAATAAACTAAAGAGTGCTCCGCACTAAGAGGCAAGGACAAAGTGATTACCACAACAGTTACATTTGGGACTCAATGCTTATTATTTTTTAGTTATGTATGTGAAAATATGAACTGGAGATGCCTACATTTGACTCTTTACATGCATAAAATTGGTACCTTTCTTCCAAACAGTGTCGAAGATCGAGAAGTATTCTTATAGCTTGTGAAAACAAATTTAGGCTTTAAGTGGAACGTAGATTTTGCATTCACAGTAATTGATGGGTATTCACATGAGTAAAGACTAAAGTTCGCAAATCTCGGGGATCAGCTAATTGGAGTCCGCGAGGATAGTTCTCCTGAAAAGACTAATTAAAATTTTTTTGCAGAAATAAGTGCCGACTCAGGAAAAATGGATATTTTGCATGGCCTAAGGTTATTGAAACGCCCGTCATCAATAATTTATTCTAAATACGCTACTTCCTTTTCCCACTCGATGAGTAAAATATTGAAGTTTTAAGAGCCGCTGGAGCAGGAGCTATGCTAGATTACCTTCTTACTGGGTATCTGCAGCGGCTGAGAAGGTTACACGTGTACACTTACATGCTGCACTTGGAGCTGCCTAGAACGTTCATCCTTGTAAGCAATTTCTTCTCGAAGGCTCTTCAATTCTGCTTCAAGACAATGCGCTTGCTTTTTGACATTTGACAGTTCATCCCGTAGCTTGCCCTGCAAAATATTGAAATACTTCAAACTGTACACAGAATCTCGCATCAAAGAAGTAGCGCTGCCAAAAATATGAAGAAAACTGTTGTCTTTTTGTGTATCAGGCTGCCTGTCGCGCATAGTTCGCCTTGCCAACTCTGTTTAAGCGAATCGCAGGGCACAAAGTGTGACGGAAGAAGAAGCTAGCGTCGCTGTTAACCGTTTCCCTAACAAAGACCGTGTTTAATATACAATAATAGGGTTTCAATTAGACTGCTTAGAATACACCATTTGAAATGACATACAAGATATAGTTAGCAAACCGAAAGCGAAACTTTCCATGCTTTTCATATGGCCTATAGAAAATATTCTTAAATAAGACAGCAGCGTGATGGGGGGTAAAATAACTTAGTATGCGTGTATGCAGCCTCTCAAATAAAAAAAACATCCTTCTATTTCGGTTTTAATATGCTGTGATCTACCTTTTCCAGACACATGTAGAGTTGGCCTTATTCTTCTTAAAACATGTCAGCTTCCTTTATATGTTCACAATGAAAACTATTAAAATCAAATAGAGTATGGGGGCGGAGGTATAACTTTGAGAAGAATATATTACACTAGCGGGCGTGCAAGCACAAATAAGGAAGTCAATTATACAACGCACCCCTTCCATTTAGAAGATTATCCACTCCCAACGGAGAACAAACCGTTTATGCAGCTTATCTATGCATTCACTACTGTTCAAAGTTCGTATAACGTAAATTGTGTTTTCTTAATTGCTGTGACGGAGATTCATATCGTGTGGTTTTCATGTTTGAAATAGAAACTTTCTAGCTTTTTGAAATTTCAAAGAAAATACTAGTTGTTTTGAGGAGATCCATCAGGCGGTTTTCTTATATCAAGAATAATAGGTAAGTGGCACACGCCATCCCTGAAAGAACTCTGAAAAAATGCCCTTCAGACTGCCACATAAGGACATTTAGGCAGGTTTAACCTATTGACGTTATCCCAGCGATCTTCTTCTTCTTCTCAATTACTTCCTGCAACTCGCATAATCACTGTTTTGGCAAATTAACAGAGGTGAACATGCAGTGAATAGAAGACAGCATATGATTCTGATCAAACCTAGCAAGATCATCGTCAAAGACGAAGCAAAGGGAACCGACTGACTGCATCCCGATTTTGTTCCTGGGGAGACCAAGTCTCGACCTCAGTCTCTTTGCTAATGGAGCGTTAGTGAAAATGGTCTACTATGAGACAAGAAGCCAAATTTTAATGAAATCTCAACAACCAGAATACTGAGCGAAGAACCAGTAGATGGGATCGACGAAGAGCAATTGATCGCTAATGAAACCCACTCGAGCTCCGAAAGCAGCCGCATAGCGAATAACGGTCTAGGCGGATAGCATTGCCTGGTAAGACAAAGGAAATTTGAATAGCCATTTCTGGTTCAATGGCCGTAATCAGCCTTCCATACCCAACCCCAACTGGCGCCCCAGACGAGGATCGAACCTGCGACATTTTGATCCGAAGTCTAACGGTCTAAGAATTGAGCCACGGGCTCTTTGCTCTGCCGGTTTAGCTAGGGGAATATTGGCACTCGATGATTTAATGTTCACCAATCGCTAACAGAATTCCCTCGTCTCGCTCTGCCTTGGGGCTTATTCTCGAGCCCCGCCAGCAACTCACTAAAAGGACGCGGGTTCGAGCCTCGGATGGTTCACCACCTTGGGTTGTGTATGAGCGGTTTATGACGGCTAATGGGTCCGAAATAGCCATTCCACTTTTTTTTGTCTTTGCTGGCTATGCTGCGACCAATGTAACTGACAGAAAATATTTCAGTCCAACGTAGACTAAATCTAATTCTTATAGGCTACAGTGTTGTGTCCATTAAGACAGAACGATGACCAACTTTGGATTGCAAAAGATGGTAAGTGCCATAAGTCGAACAGAGCATGTACTTTTTTTCCACTTTTGGACTTCTTCTATGTGCATTTTGCGGATTTGCCTTCATGCGTTCACTCCATGCCGTTCTGCACTCATATGATCTTGGCAAGCATCCAAAGAAAATAAATTATTGCACTGTTTATAAAGAAGAAAGTATTAATTGGTGCTATTAAGTCCAATTGAAATTTTGGGAGAAAAGGAGGAGAATACGTTGTGTCTACTTCGAGTGTATTGTTTAAAAAATGTAAATCTTCTCAATTTGTAACAAATCGTACGCTCGTAAATTAGTTAATTCGACAGGGTTAATTCGAGGTCAAATATAATTGTTAGTTTCAGAAAATCCGTCTTTTGGAATACTGTAATGGTATACGAGTGCAATCACGTCAGGCTTAACAACCAACTTGAGAGCTTTATCTTACTTATTGTATTTTGAGTCTATCTCGGCACAAACAAGTGCTCTATTTTAAGCCTTAAGACACGGATCTCAGATAGCACGCAGCTACTTGAGTTCTTACAGCTTCTGGTAGACTGCAAAGCAACATATTTATGAAAAGCGAGGCAAGGGATTGGCCCTTACAAGTTCCGTCTCTTGTTGTTCAAGCTTGGTCTCTCTTTCTTGGTTGTTCCTGTGCAAGTAAGTAACGCGGTGGTTCAGGTCATCATTTTCGGTCTTCAGGCGCTGAATTTCCTGTGTGTGGTTCTGTTGCTGTCAGAAGAGACGGAAACGATAAGTTATCATTAACAAAAATCTGTTCATCGTTATTAGGAAATATACAGACTGTGTGGCCTCTGGCCTCACAACAACAGTTTCAAAAAGCATATTAATTCTTTTGGAATATAAATTCAATAAGCATAGCTCGAGATTAGTGTTAGCCAATTTGTCCTAATTGTTGAATGATAGTGGCAGACAAGCGAAATACTAATTGTCGATGTCTTTGTCTGTTATAGCTCAGAAAAATCGAGGTCATCCAGCTTTCCTCGAAGTAGTCTTATAAAGTGAATATATTGCACAAGTCTACCAAATATTCCTAATGATATTTGCACAGAAACCAATTATTATTCCTTTCGCAAAAACGAAAACCCTAGTCGGTTCATAGAAGATTCAGAGGCAACAGTAGGTTATGTAGCCCCATTCATTAATCCCTACAACCTGCATGTTTTCCTATGAAGACGGTGTTTATCGGGTTTTATGGGCGGGAAATTAGGACACGCAGTGGAATATTCTTTAAGAAATGCTCAATGCATTTTCGG